CAATCTTATACAAAGTTATGAAAATTGCATGGCCTGTGGCGACTACTGTAAGGTGTTTCCTCATATTGACCTGAAACCGACTGCTGACGACGGGGTGGGTCCTCTGTTTTCGTCGCCTTATCGGCAAACACGGCTCTTCGGGATGTTCTCGTGAATCTGCGGTCTCCCCTCGTGTGCCTCTTCGGATAAAGACATTAATCGCGATGGGCTTCTCCTGGCTTGCCGCAAACATTCTCAGCAGCGAGCGATTCCTATCTTGCACATACTTTCATCCCAGGAGCGACAGATTTTCTCCTAAAAATCCTACAAATAACATTCCATCTTTCGAATTCCGAGCAATGCCTTTCGAGTTTTCACTGCCTACTCTTTTCCCTCAGTTACGCCTGCTGGCTCGTGTTTAGTAATATCCTCACAGGTGAGTCTATTACTTGGAACAAGTGAATGGTCACCTAAAATTATGTACACGACCTCTTTTGAAATGTTCTGCTGTACCGATGCATTTCTCCATTACTGTATACCGATTGGCAGTTCAAAGGCGTTTGCCTGTCTTTAAAATAATAAAATTTACTTGATTTCACTTGATTGACTTGCTGTTATTTCCATTTTTCTTATATATTGGTAGTTGCTAGTCGTTTTGTTGTTCAATAGCACTCAATTTCGTTGCTACATATCCAGACCTAGGAAAATTAGTGTGTATATTTCAGCAATGCAAAGCTCACGAGATTTGCAGGATTTATTGACGTCATATAATTTCGCGAGCTCGTATTCAACTGCAAACGATCGTTGGTTGTTAATAAAGAGAAGTAACTGGCCAATGAAGTGTCGGCATAGAGGGGTGAAACTTGATAGGTAAAGACAGCAGAAGCTATTAGTCTTAAATGCGGGCTCAATGTGAGGGGGCAGAAAAGGGGAGAGGTATTTGTCACAGCATGGCAGTTCATGTTGATGAAAGCCTATAGGACGTGGTTCAAAGGGGGGGGGTATTGGGACAGGGGACAGGGTAGCAGTCAGTCCTAAGGGGACGAGGAGGCGTGAGCGGGAATGAGGTTATCGATCATTATCACGGCAATGCTAGATTGATCACATGATCTAGCTACGTACAGAGTTCTAGTTTTCCTCTCCGTATTGCAATGGTCTTCGAAAATCGTAAGGACACCCGGTCGTCGCCCGAAGGATGACCTTAAATACAATCCTTTGGTAGACAGGATGGCCAGTGCCCACTAGGTGTTTCCTGATTGAACTCTTAGGTACTTTATGTTCCGCCCTGAGCAACCATTTCGGCATATGTTCAGCTGACCACGTGGCTAGTTGCCTTTGCGTGCGCCCGACGTATTTGCATCCGCAACTACATGAAAACTCGCAAACGCAGTTTTATGCGGCGTGCATAAGTAGAATGTCTTTAGTCGGTCAAACTGGAATAGCCGTTGTTTTGCTTACGTACAACAATTTAGCGGCAGGATAACTTATTTCAATGGTACATCGAAGCCTTCGTTTTATCACCTTGGAGACACTATCACTATTGGAAGGGAAGAAAATGCCCACCGACTTTTTTGGCACTGATATTTCAGGAGTAATTTCTCGTCTGCGGTTTCTATACTTATTAATGAATTTCTCAGGATAGCCATTTCCAAGAAACACTTTCTTGAGAAAACTCATCTCTTTATCGATCGTATCCGAAGAACAGATTTCAGCGGTTCTATTGAAAAGGCACAAAATCCAAGTTTCGTTTCCTCTGAATTGAAACGAAACTGGGAAAGTGTATGCATTGCCTTTTCCACGTGGTTTTCCGATAAGTGGGCCTTTGAATGGAACCAGCTGCGCGCCTGCGTATAAGCACGTCAAAGGAAGCCAGCTTGTCGTCCTTCTCCTGCTCAATCGTAAATTTGATTTTTGCATGAGCTTCGTTCATAGCTTTACGTAACAGTTCTCCCTCCTCATTCCCGCTCATGCCTCCCCGTTCCCCTGAGGAATGACTGCTACCCTGTCCCCTGCCCCAACCCTGCCCCCCTTTAACAACGTCCTGAAGACTTTGATGAACATGAACTGCCGTGCTGTGACAAATACCTTTCCCCTCCTCTACCCCCTCACCATGCACCCACATCACAGACTAATGGCTTCTAATTTCTCTTCAACTACCAAGTTTCACCCTTCTATGCCGACTCTTAATGGGTCAGGCAATTATGTTTATTAACAGTCAACGACCATTTGCAATTGAAAAAGAGTTCACGTAATTTTATGACGTCAATAAATTCCGCTGATCTCGTGAGCTCTGCGTTGCTCAAATTTTTTCTGGGAAATTAATGTTCCAAATGTACTTAGTTTTTGCGTTTTTCTAGACACAATTCCATGTCTGTCCGTGGTGAGGCCCCATCTTAAATCTCGCATTGCCAAAATTCCCATTTTAAACGTTCCTGGGATTATTGCTAAGTTAAGTGACTCACATAAACTTTCCGTTACCAATAACTATTCTATTTCCAATTGATTTTACTAAAATATTCTGCTGCATAACTATTGGCTGCAATATTTTCAGGGTGTTCTTTTTTTACGGAAACCGCCCTGACGCGAGCAATTTAAGGAATATTTAAGGGCAGTTCAGTTGCTCACCTGTTCAGCTGCAAATCCGCATCCCAAAGATGGAAGTTTTGTTCGGGGAGCGGTTTCAGTCCCGAGGAACTGCCGGCAGGACCAGCGAGATGCTGTCGGAGGCGTCTCCACAGGCCCTCCCGCCTAGCTGTGCTTAGGTAAGTCCGCCTAACCGCCAGTTCCACCGCTGCCAGAAGAGGTTGTCGATTGGTGCATACATTTGTCGCTAAGAGCTGCAGTTTTGGTAGGTCTGTGCCAGCCGTGAGGATTCCGTTACACCACGCGGGGCGTACTCTAATCTGTAGACTCAAACACCTCGTGTCGTTTTCAGCCCTGACTGCTGATCGTTCTAGACAGATGCTGATCGTGGGTTCGGGGTCGAGATGAAGGCACGCTCGGGCTGTCGGGCTGGGGTTCTTGGCTGAGGTGGGCTCAAAGTCATTTAGCAGTGGGACTCCCTGCAGAACCAGAGGTTGATAACTGATTGTAATCCATGTGGGCAGTTCAGAAAGCACCTAAAATGGGACAATTTGAGAGATTTTATTAGGGCTGAGCGCTTTACATGACATATGGTTTTAGCTGGTCAATTTTTACACGAATCCGTAGCTCAAATTCTGCAATTTGCTCACGAATTGGGAAAGCATTAGGACGTTGCGATTCAGTATCAATATAGGTGGGTACCTTTGAACTCCTCATTTTTACACTCATGTTTTGATTTCAAAACTACTATCTCAGCTTATTGGCCAGGCAAAATAAGTTTGAATAAAGTAAAGGCATTGCTATATATTTACTAACACGGCACAAACCCAGAAGCGCTTACTTGCAGTAGGATACCAGCATTTGAAAGTACGTCGTTTCGGCTGCCTGCGCAAACGACACTGGCTATAAAATGACTATGTAAATCAAAGCATTTTTCCACTGGTTTTGAAGGGCCTCAGAAATCTAAAGGGGTTTTACACAAAAGACGCATAACAATATGCCATTGCCCACTTATTTTATAAATTTTGCAGAGAAACTGCTGTATCTTTTGTTTTAAGAAAACCATTGTT